ACCAATCAATCAATCAACCAATCAATCAATCACACACACACACACACACGCACACACACACACTCACACACACACACACACACACACACACACACACACACACACACACACACACACACATTTTCATTGACTGATTATATATATAGATTCACATTCTGATTGCCTACTCCTTACTTCATGCGTGTCTGACTCTCGACGTTGTGCAGTCGCTGACATTCACAATGTCAGCGACAGGCGGAGACGCTGTCCCCGCTCGATCGTCGTCCAATGCGGCATCTCCGCAGGGGACACCCTCTGCTCGTCAAAAAGCGTCGGTCGATCTCCATGTGCTGCGCAGGGGTTGTTGGGCGTTTCACCACACAGCGGTGGTCCAGAGGTCCGGTTAGGGAAAAGGCGCCATGGTAGCGTTTCTCATGCGACAGGCGGCGTCGTTGGCCCGGGCGTGACACACATTTCGCCTTTCGCTGGTGTGTTGGGGGTTTCTCCGCCGGATGCACCCGCTGTTCGTGACGCAACCGCGTATGGAGGTGTGTTTGGTGGTCCGTTGCTGCCGTCCCCGCTCCTGCCTAGACGACTGGACTATGCGGCCACGATTCCTTCGCCATCTGTATGGTCACATGCGGTAGCCCCGCCATGTCCAGCTGGAGGCGCTTCTCTTTCAGGAGATCGCAGCGACGCTTGGTGTAGTCCAACTGTTTAACGTCCACAAGTCGTCGGCGCGGCGGCCGGTTCAATCGTGATGCCGCCTCAGTCTCCCTACGTCGCTCCTGATTCCAAACCTCCGGTTGACGATGTCGATGGCTCTGCAACAGTCGGTGGCACGCCATCTTCAGCCGCCAACAGCATTGTGCCTATGTGTGTGCGGGACGGGTGTCGGAGGCCTGGTTGTACGCTCTCCGCGATGCTATGGCAGGTGTGGGTGACCATCGCGGACCGGTCAGCGACGTTATTGATCGGCTGCTCCACTGGTCCTTGTCAGCCATCCGTGCGGAGTTTGGTGTCGGGGTAGCAGGTGTGATTTCTTCGACGTTGCCATCTCGGGTGTGCGGTCGAGATTTCACATTGCGTTATATGCCAGGCAATTTCGGTGCTGACTACGGTCAGGGGGGTTCGCAGGGTTCAGCGAGCGGAGGGTTGGGGGAGTCGCAGGAGGGATCGCAAAACTCGTTCTCGTCGTCTCGTCGTGCATCGCAGCGCAGTGACAGAGGGCGTGGTAGACCCCGCAGCGCGGGTCGGTACACACAGACACCTACCCGGCCGCAGACGTGGTGGGACAGTTGGGAAGGTGTTGACCAGTGCGGTCCCGGGCCGGAAACTGACCGTGCCAGTGTGGAGTGGACCGATAACGCCGGATGTTGTGTTTCTCGAGCCGGTCAAGCTCCTTCAGTTGCTGGCCATGTTTCATTTATATTGCCCATGGCACAAGGGTTCGTGCCGTGTGTCTGGGGAGTCCGTCTCCTATCCAGTGCAACTCTGTAAGCTGACGTTCGTATGCGATAAGAAATGCAAATGGACGTGGCACACGACACTCGTGACCACGAACGTATATCACTCGCGACTGCAGCATCAACTCTTTCATGCGACGGTCACTACCGGGCTGACGTTCACGCTCCTCGACAACTTTTGTGTTGGTTTAGGGATGTGCTCGATGCACAAACCCACGTTCTACAAGTTTATGCGCACAGAACCGGGGGAGGCGGAGGGGTGGAATGCCAAGGTCGTACGACAGGACATTAAATATTGCGAGCTTGCCATTGACACTGTGATGCGCCGTGGTGAGCCAGTGACATTGATGGTCGATGGTCGATATGACTCTGCCAGAGGCGTGCAGCATTGCACTGTCACCGCGATGGAGTACGAGACTCGGCTTGTTGTGGGTGTGCACACTCTCCGCCCGAAGATCAAAGGCAAGGCGTCGAATGCGCTTGAGGTGCCAGCCGTCGTGCAACTTTTGCGAGGACTGATGGAGAAGGGGTTGAAGATCCGGTGCGTTGTCTCGGATGGATGTGCCGCGCTGGGACCGCAGTTGCGAGCTCTGAACATCGAGTGGCAGAAGGATTGCCACCACAAAATAAAAAACATTTGCAAGCACTTCCACAGTATGCTGCAACTGAAGGAAGCGAAGAAAGTGAGTAACCCGCACGAGTGTGTGTCGGAGGCGCAGTTTATGCAGTTCACGAAGAAGCGGCTGATGGAGGCGTTGGAGCAGCGTTTCGGACCTGGCGTCCTCACACCTGCCGAAGAGCGGATGAAGAAATCGGATTTCGTCGCTGTCGTCATGCGGAAGATGTACCCCTACGGATCGAGGTCGAACGCTCGAGCGTTGGAGACTGATCCTGACGGCTTGACAGAGTATCATGCGCATGAGGTTGGGATGTGGTTCCTCCGCGCTTGTCAGCTGTACAGGGACGAGGGTGGAGACGCCAGCAGTTTGCACCGCGACATCATGTTGGTCGCCGTTCATTGGGCTGGTGATCATTCGGGATGTGTCGGTGGTAGGGAGGTTCTGTGCGAGAAGGCCGGTGGGCCTGCACGATTGCCTTTGTATAGCCGCACGGACACGGTCTACGAGTTCATTCTGCGTGTTCTTGGGAAACAATTCAGCACTAACATCACGCCGTACTACGTCGAGTTTCGACACACATCGGCGGTGGAGACTTTTCAGGGCACCATCATCATCTATGCGAAGAAGTCGGTGCATTTCGAGAAGTCTTACTGTGCGCGTCTGGCTATCGCAGTGATTCGGTGGAACAGTCACTGCTGGCGCGACCCAGTCGGGTACGTTGCTCGCATAGCTGCGGGCACTTCCATACGTCCGAGACCAGGCTTCCGTCGACAGAACGAGGAGGCAATCGACTCTTGGCAAGACAGGTTGTCGGCGTCCGTGTTCGGTTCGGCTCGTGTTTCGGACTGGGCTCGAGAGTTTCTGCGACAGGAGGTTTGTCCTTATGGACCCGGGCCATTGCCGCGCGATCTGTTCGTCGCAGGTGGGGGTGACCCAGTGGAACTCGCTGATGATGCTGCCTCCGGTTCTGACCATGAGCCGGTGGGGGAAAACCGTGTTTTCATCATCGGTCACGTGGAGGAGGATGTGGTGCCTACATGCGATGATTGGGTTCCGACATCGAGCTCGGAATCTGAGGGTGACGATATAGAGTTGTTCAGCGTTTGACTGGTTGAATGGCTTTTTCGTTGACCTGACTATGATCTGCTGATCCGATAATCATTGCGCACGGCGTTGTTCTCACACATCTTATGGTGTCTTGTTTGTTACGCTATATTTTTTCCTACTTTTTTTTTATGTTGTTATATATATATATATATATGGGGTGTGAACCGACAGTCTGTAGAGTTTTCCATCTGGTGTGGGTGAGTGATAGTCTACTTTGATTTTGGTTAAGGTAGATTATCATTTACANTAAGGTAGATTATCATTTACATTGTAATCAGTGAGGGGATTCTGCAGACTGTTGAGGGTTCAGCCTCCTGATGAGTCGGTGAAACTCCGACGAAACAGTTTGTCACAGCCCCTCGTTTGTTGTCCTCTTCTCCCTCTCTGCCTACGGGTTTACCGGGCAGTTCTATTTGACGATATATATATATATATATATATCGTCACATATATATATATATATATACTAGGGCGATTTCCCGGGTGCCCGAGTGCCAAATTCCCGACCGGAATGGCACCCGGGCGCCTGGCCGGTCGGGCCCCCGGGCCAGTTTCGCGCAAGGCCCAAATTGTTTTTTTTCGCGGCCTGGGGGGTGCTCCGGGGTTCGTTGAGGCCGGTAGGACCGACGTAAAAAAAAATTCGGCCGTGGGGATCCGAAATGTGCCTTACTGCGTCGCCGAGATCTGGCCGTCGATCTCGAAGATCGGCGACTGGATTTCGCAGGTTTTGAAATTTATTTGTCCGCGCGTTTTCGCGCCGGCACGATGAGTTTGCCGACGCGAAAACGCGCGGACAAACGACTTCCCCTACGGAGTCGGCCATCAGAGCCCGAGCGACGACGACGAAGCCCCGAAGACCCCCTGCCGTTGCCCCGGAAGCCCGCCGCCATCGCCCGCCGGCCACTCCTCGGCCATCGACGGTTTGTGTGTGTGTGTGTGTGTGTATGTGTGTGTGTGTGTGTGTGTGTGAGAGAGAGAGAGAGAGAGAGAGAGAGAGAGAGAGAGAGAGAGAGAGAGAGAGAATTTTCCAGCCGTTTCTCTCCTCCTCCTCCTCTTCTTCGTCTTCTTCTTCTTCTTCTTCGTCTCCCCCTCCCCCGACTTCGCCACAACGGCGCCCCTGTGTTCCATCTTTTTCGTCGTCGTTCGGTAGGTAGCACGAAATAGGACACGAAAAAAAAAAAAAAAAAAACGTCATCCTCCGATCCTCCTCTTTCCCCTCCTCCGCTCTTCTTCTTCTTCTTCTTCTTCTTCTTCTTCTTCTTCTTCTTCTTCTCTCCTCCTCCTCCACTCCTTTTCTTCTTCTCCCCTTCATCCCCCTATCGTTTTCTCCATCTTCCTCCCCCTTATTTGATTGTCTTCTTCCTCCCCTCCTCCCCTGTCATTTTTCTCGCCGGCAATTCTTCTTCTTCTTCTTCTTCTTCTTCTTCTTCTTCTTCTTCTCTCCTCCTCCTGCTCCCGTCTCTTTCGTCGTCGTCTATAGGTAGCGCGAAATAGGACACGAAAAAATAAAATAAAAAACGTCTTCCGAGTCAGATCCGACTTATCCTCCGATCCTTCTCTTCCCCCTCCTCCGCTCATTAACTTCTTCTTCTTCTTCTTCTTCTTCTTCTTCTTCTTCTTCTTCTTCTCTCCTCCTCCTGCTCCCGTCTTTTTCGTCGTCATTCTATAGGTAACGCGAAATAGGACACAAAAAAAAAAAAAAAAACGCCATCCTCTTCTCTCCTCGTCCTCCTCTTGTCTTCTTCCACTACCCCTTCTCCCCCC